GTTTCAAAAAAAAAAAAAAAAAAAAAAAAAAAAAAGAATCTGTATTAAATCAACTAAAAATAACTGCTTCATTAAAAAGACGCTAAAAGCACCCAGGTGCTCTCAAGGCAGCTGGGCAGCACGGCTGAGCCTGGGTCTCAGGCGGGGGACAGCGCGGAGCACCCCTGCCCGGGCAGCAGAGGCCGGGGTCTCCAGGACCCTCTCAGCTCATGGTCAGCCCCCAACCCGGGGAACCAGAGGCAAGGGCCTCTGGGACCCTCTCAGCTCAGGGCCAGCACCCTGCCCAGGCAGCAGAGGCTGGGGGTTCTGGGACCTGCGCAACTCAGGAACTCAGGGCCAGCACCCTGCTTGGGGAACCAAAGGCCAAGGGCTCCAGAACCCCACTCAGCTCAGGGCCAGCACCCCAATCAGGTGGCACAGTCCAGGGGCTCCGGGACATCTCTCAACTCAGGGCCGAACCTCCCATGAAGCCTGGTGGCCAGAGTCAGCCTCTCGTCATCTACACCTTAGTGCGGAGGACACTGAGGCCCAGGGCCCACCATACGTGGTAGCAGGGGCCGGGCCCCTCCCAAGTGCTACCCCAAGTGCCCTGGCCCCGAGCTGGCCTCCGCGCGCGGTGCTCTGGCTCAGTCATCCAGGTGGATTTCTCAGGTGAGGGCGCAGCAGGGGGGCTGTGTGCAGCCTCCTACCTCTTATACTTGATGTTCAGGAGGGAATAGATAGCACCCCCGACGCAGAGGGGATACAGCAGGTAAGACAAGTACTTCATGGCCTGCAGGGACAAAGGGGCTTCCAGTTAGAGTCCCAAACGCCAAGTCTGTAAACGCGCTGCACGGAACTCGCTACGACAGGGACAGACAGAACAGGCTGCAGCACTTGGGGTGGCAGGGTGCTGGGCAGGGGCGCATGCAGGGCACTGCACACGCGCCACAGCCCCGGTGTACTACAGGCGCTAGCTTACAGTGACAGATCAATTCTGCCCAGTCAAAAACAACCAGCCCGCAACAGACCAATACACAGAACAGAAAGATACCTGAAAAACTGCCTTCTAAGTAATGCAGTTGAATCGCTAGCTCTATGTACTCTGATTTCAGCTTTACAACTCAATAAATGTTTGACAGAAACTGATGAACATTAAACCAAACAAAACTCATTCCTGTGCAGAAACATTCTACTAAATCAAACTGAGGCTTCCAGCTCCCCCAACCGCAATGGGGAAAGGTGCACCCAACCCGGGCAGCAGAGGCTGGGGGCTCTGGGACCCCTCTCAGTTCGGGGTCAACACCCCTCAACCTGGGCAGCAGAGGCTGGGGGCTCCAGGACCCCTCTCAGCTCAGGGCCAGCATCCCCCTCTCCAGGCAGCAGAGGCTGGGGGCTCCGGGACCCCTCTCAGTTCAGGGTCAACACCCCTCAACCCGGGCAGCAGAGGCTGGGGGCTCCAGGACCCCTCTCGGCTCAAGGCCAGCATCGCCCTCCTGGGCAGCAGAGACTGGGGGCTCCAGGACCCCTCTCAGTTCAGGGTCAACACCCCTCAACCTGGGCAGCAGAGACTGGGGGCTCCAGGACCCCNCCTGGGCAGCAGAGACTGGGGGCTCCAGGACCCCTCTCAGTTCAGGGTCAACACCCCTCAACCTGGGCAGCAGAGACTGGGGGCTCCAGGACCCCTCTCGGTTCAGGACCAGCATCCTCCTCTCCAGGCAGCAGAGGCTGGGGGCTCTGGGACCCCTCTCAGTTCAGGGTCAACACCCCCCAACCTGGGCAGCAGAGGCTGGGACTCCAGGACCCCTCTCAGCTCAGGGCCAGCACCCCACCCAGGCAGCTGGGGCCCCGTCTCCATGCCACTGTGCTGCCGCGGCCGTTATGGGCTTGCTGACGGCAAGTGTTTCCCAGCCATCACAGCAGACACCACGGCCTGTGCCAGCTGCCTGGTGAACGTGACTCACAAAGGATGAAAACGTCCCACTGTAGGGTGATGCAGGCGGGCTGTGCCCACAAGGGCCGGGGAATCAGAGTCTCCGGGAGCCACGCCCTTCTCAGTAAGAAACGTGGGTGTTACGTGATGGGTCTCGGGATCCCTGCTCAGGGTGGGCTGCCCCGCACTCCACGGACACTCGCTGTGAGAAACAGCATGAACCCCGTCTCCGAGGGCGCTAGATTTGCCCGGCATGCACGTGCCGCGAATCGCACAGACTTACCTGAGTATCGTACTCCTCGGTCTTCCTCTCAGACTCACTGTAAGTGCCAAACTGTTGTGAAATTAAATACAGTGATGTCAACAGACTCAGGGAAGGCACTGGAGCACAGCTGAGCTGACTAAGGAGCCCCGCACACGGCTGCAGCGCTGGCCCAGGCTCTGGTCCTTTAGAGCCACCCACAGACAGCGCTCCGGTCCTGACCGGGCGAGGAGAGGGCCGAGGACGGGGACCCTCCCTGCCTTGCCCTGGCCCTGGGTCCCGCAAACCACACAAGTCGGGGCAGCGTGGCCACGTTCACGTTCCTCGCGTGGCGGCTCGGCTTTCAGGGCCGCCGCTTCAGTGAGGATGCCACAGAGTGCACAGCCACACCCGGCCCTGCTCTGAACCAGCCAGCCGGGAGGAGCCACGGGGCAAGGCCGGAACCCAGCAGCTGTGCCCCATCTGCTGGGCTTTCTGGCCTCCCTCTGCTCACAGCACAGAAAAGCGGGGCCATGACTGCTGAGGGCCCTGCTGCAATCAAGGTCCGTCTGTGGGTGTGGAGTCTCAACTCCGGCTCTGCCCAGCCCGCATCTGCCTAGGGGCCTCATCAGTGCTGGGCACTGGGGCAGCCACCAGCTCAGGGCAGAGGCTCATTCACTGGGGACCGCCAGGCCTGTACCGACCCCAGTCAGCACCAGCCTCGGGAGGGCCCTCTGGGCAAGGTACCAAACCGAAGCATCCGCACTGGCCAGCCGGCATCCCTTCTCCCAGAGGCCGGCTCAGGCCCAGAAGTGCTGGCCGTCTGCTCTGAAGAGGGTCAGAAATAGGTACACGATGGGGGAGCCCTCAGGTGAACAGGGCAGCTGTGACTGGAAAGCCAGAGCAGCGTCCACCTTGGAGGCTCCCCGGACAGAGGCTGCAGGGAGTCGCCCGCGACGGCACCCTACTCTGTGCCCGGGGAAAACCACAGAATCTTCAGAGACGGCTCCTACCTGCAACACGGGCCTCAGGCCTCTCCAGACAACAGTCATCTTCAACGCCTTTTTCACTTTCCACAGCTGAGGGGAAGTTGGGAAATTGCTCCTTTAATATTCTAAGGCCAGGAGACCCAGAACGAATGACCCAGACAGTAACGGACGGGACCCGCTGCCCACGGCCCCGCCCAGCCCACCGCCTCTTCCTGCGCCTCCCACAGCTCAGGCTGGACCTGGGCGTCTAATCCACGCCCGGCAGGTGTACCTGACTGGGGGGTCCACAGCCACTGCCAGGCAGATGACAAAACCAGCACACAAGTGTGGTTCTCTAAGCCAACTGCCTGCACCCAGGTCAGCCCCCAACTCCTCCTGCCTGGTACCCGGGCAGCCCTAGAGCCTGTGTCGGGACTTCTCTGACAGCTGCCCCTCCTGGCTGTGTCCTTGGCTGGTATCGCTCACGGAGCTCAGGACTAGTGCCTGAGACGGGCTTGGCACTGTGACTCGTGCCTATGGAGGGCCCTCTGCCTGTGTGCCCCAGCGCCATTTAATCCAGCTCCTCCTCAACAGGCATATGGCCACGTAGGCCCCCACCCACGGATGGGCCATCAGCTGTGGGCCCTCAGACTCTGGCTCCCCGCTGGGTGGCACAGAAGCTGAGGGAGGAGCTGGGTGGAGTCCGGGGCTTCTCAATCTGAAGGTCATCACCCCGCTCAAGGTTTTTTTTTTTTTTTTTTTTTTTTTTTTTTTTTTTTTTTTGAGACAGAGTTTCGCTCTTGTTACCCAGGCTGGAGTGCAATGGCGCGATCTCGGCTCACCGCAACCTCCGCCTCCCGGGTTCAGGCAATTCTCCTGCCTCAGCCTCCTGAGTAGCTGGGATTACAGGCACGCGCCACCATGCCCAGCTAATGTTTTGTATTTTTAGTAGAGACGGGGTTTCACCATGTTGACCAGGATGGTCTCGATCTCTTGACCTCGTGATCCACCCGCCTCGGCCTCCCACAGTGCTGGGATTACAGGCTTGAGCCACCGCGCCCGGCCCCGCTCAAGGTTTTGCTCCCAAGGTTTTGGCTAGCTTTTCTGAGCTCCCAAACCACCAGGCTGGAACCAGGGCACGGGGTGACTTCCGTCACTGCCCACCTGGCCACCATGCTCAGATATCAGCCAAAGCACCAGCCTCTCGAGGCCCCACAGTTTACGTCTCTGCTTTGTACACAGTGGGATTTCTCAAGCGTGTGAAAACGCTTGGCTTGGTGGATGGGGCCTCATGAGCTGATGCCGTCAGAACACCCACTTCCCTGCTCTCCACTTGTTCAAAGCCCTTAGGCCGCCGCCTGCCATCCCACAGCTTCCAGAACACAGACCATCGGGAACAAGCCTGCAGGCTTCCGCAGATCAAAGCCTTTCCTGGGTGTGCTGAGGCCCAGGGACCTCAGACAGTTCAGGTCATCAGCCGGGACTCACCTCGATGGCGGCTCCGATGCCGGCCGGGACCAGCACCAGCAGGCTCGTCTGCTCATCCAGCAGGAACAGGAAGATGACCACGGTGCTGAAGCAGCGCCAGAGCACTGGGGACAGGACAGTGGGGCTGGGGGGGTGCAGAGCTGACCCCGCCTGTTCCCCCCTCCCAACCCCCCACACCCAAGCAGCTTCAGGTGCTCCCAGACCATGTCATCCCGTTTAAGGACGGTGAACCATCCAGCAGCTGGGACAGTGTCTTGAAGGCTGCTGAACAAACACCTGGCCCCACGCCAGCTCCACAAACATGCATCGGAGCCACACTTGCAAATGAGCATGGAGCATGGGCTGAGGTCGGATGACAGGGCCCCACGGCTTTGCCTCCAGTCCGGTTTATGCTGGTTCTGTGATACGCATGCAGCTTTTCAAGACTGTACTTGGTTCCTCCCCAGCTGTACCCCTCCTCCCGAGCGCCCCCAGGGCAGGAGGGGAGGTGGATGCCATGAAGTCACACGACAAATGGTGGTCACGGCCACAGCCGCTGACTGCTGCACACCCCAGCTCGGGACGCCTGGAAAGCCATGAGGGCTGGCAGACAACAGCAGGGAGCACCCAGGACCCCCTGCTTGGGCGTCTTTTCTAGGTGAGAAAAACAACCCATCTGGGCCTGACAGTGGAGCCAAACAGCCTTCACTCCTAATGACAGGACACACCCACTGCTCGTTCTCACACCCGTCACCCCCCACCCATCCTGACGCCAACCCCCAACCCATGCAACCTCCACCTCTGAAAAGGTCAGGAGGACCCCTCTCTCCCAACTCGGGTCCCCCCACCATGGCAGGCACCCTTGGCCAGAACGCTAGTCCCAGATCTTGGCAGGCCTACTGCCTGACCTCAGGGGTCCCTGACCACCTGCCCTAACAGCTGCACACCGCCCATCACTGCCAGGCACACCGTCACCTGGCAGGACCCCCACGCCCAGGCCTGTGCTGGATGGGTAAGGAATGCCGGTAGGAGGATGGGGCGAGGGAACCGAGGCAGGGGAATGTGAGGCTGCAGCCCCACCTCAGCACCCATGAGCAGCCAGGAAGGCTTGACAAGTCCACACCTCTCTCTCCATAGCACAGGCCCAGACCCAGACCCCATGCACGCCACAGAGTTCGCAGCCAGGCCCTGAGCGGGGCAGCTGGGCACCCCACCCTGCTCTCGGGCTGTGGCTACAAAGCGCAGCGTCGCCTCTCAACTGTGCTAAGCAGTGGAGGTTGGGCATGGTGGCGCATGCCTGTGGCCCCAGCTATGGCAAGGCCAAGGTCACACCACAGCTGCAGCAAGGCTCCCTGGGTTTTATGATGCCTGATCTCGGCGGCTTCTCAAGAGCCAAGCACATACTACTGGGGCTGTGTCAGAGCCAGCAGTGAGGCGGGGAGCCATCAACCGCAGGCTCGCTCCAATGAGCTCCCCCTGGGCAGAGCGCGCCTGAGCAGGGCCACGCTTGGGGCACCTACCTGCCTTGGTGGACATGCCAATCATGCTCTTCTTCTTCTTCCAGAAGCTGATGTCGTTTTTAAAGGCCAGGAAATCAAACAGAAGCTAGAGAGAACACACACGACAGCAACTCGCATCTCTACCTGCTCCTATCTCCTGTGAGAGACGGGTCTCGTGTGGCCGGGAGCCTGCAGGTGTGCTCAGCTTCAGGACACATCAGGACAGGTGCCCACACTCGGGACCCACACCTCTATGCGCCCGCCTGCCACGTCAGAACCTAGAATGCCAAGGTGGGCTTCGCAGAGGTACTTGTGAAATAAACACATCTGCGACTGGAACTGCTGGGAAAGCCCACAGGAAGTGGAGGCTCTGGATTCTGCTGGAGTGTGGGGCCAGCTGGGTGCCCTGACCCTGCTCAGGCTGTGGCTACGCAGGGCAGCCTTGCCTCCCAACTGTGCTAAAAACCTAGGGCGGCTGCGGGTGGTGGCCCATGCCTGTGGTCCCAGCTACAGCGAGGCCAAGCTGCAGGACCGCCTAGGCCCAGGGGTTTGAGACCAGCCTGGGCAACATAGAGAGAACTGTCTCAGGAAAAAAGAATCTTAAAAAACCCAACCATACATGAGCTCCTTACAGAGACCTTTTATAAAATTCATTTAATTCTCCAGCAGGCTTTGAAAAGTTTTAGCTTGACTGGCAGCCGGATTCCCAGGCATTCAGAACCGGTGCTGGCAGCACCCCTGGGTGGTTTCACCCTTCCAGCCTAACCACAGGCCAGCCCAGCAGCCACAGGAAGGCTCTCCTCCAGCAGCTCAACTTCACAACAAACACAAGAGCACAGCAGCCTGGCTTCCCGTGGTTTGCTGTCTGTGGCGTGGTTTTAGGTGCCCACGGAGCAGTGTGATGAGACATTCTGAGGGTGAGACCACACCCGTCACTTTACTACAGTACACTGTCGTAACCGTTGCCGGTTATTATTAACCTCTTACTGCGCTTACCTTATATGTTAAACTTTATCATACGCATTATGTAACATACCGTATTTACAAACGTAGGATAAACCAGTCTTTCCAGGTTTCGGTTTCAGGCACCCACCGAGGGTCTCTGAATACATCTATCGCCTGAGGATAAGGGGCACTACTGTACACACACAGCACTGACTTTTTAAGTTTAAAATCAGCATGTTAGAATTTACACAAGAAAACTGCCTTCTGCTGGAGACTGCCCAGCTCAGCACCTGGCTCTGCATGGGCATGTGTGGGCCGGGCCCGGGCCTGGGCAGGGAGAGTGAGACACCTGCGCCTACTCATCTCATGGGTGTGTACGCTGCTCAGAGTGCTCTGGATCCGCTTTCTAAAACCGTCCCCAAAGCCAGCACAGACCAAGTCCTCAAGGCTGTGGATGGAGCTCCCCGGTACCCCCTTTTCAGAACTGGGAGAAACCGTCCACGGGGACAATGGCTGCCAAGTGTCAGGTGTGCTGGCTGCTGAGTGACGGGAGAGGATGCTTGAGGACCACAGGGCTGGACACAAGCCCCAGGTCCAAGGGCCCTACAGGAGGCCTGGGGCCCAGGGAGCCTCCCCAGAGCCCATGCCCGCTGCTCCCGGTGGAAGACTCACGTGGAACGCGGCGACAAAAAAGGTCAGCGCCAGGAAGTACAAGTTGGTATCTACGAAAATTCCTTTCACCTCATCAGCATCTTTCTCTGAAAACCCTGCCAAGGGAAAAGAACATACAATTTAAAACAGCCCATGCCAATCCTACCTAACATTACAAAAACAGTTTTCAATATAAAAATGTAGGCTGGGCACAGTGGTTCATGCCTGATGTCCCAGCACTTTGGGAGTCTGAGGCGGGTGCCTCACTTGAAGTCAGGAGTTTGGGACAGCCTGGCCAACATGGCGAAAACTTGTCTCTACCAGAAATACAACTCAGCCAGGTGTGGTGGCAAATACCTATAATACTAGCTACTAGGGAGACTGAGGCATGAGAATCGCCTGAAACCCGGGAGGGGGAGGTTACAGTGAGCCAAGATCACGCCACTGCACTCCAGCCTGGGCGACAGAGGGAGACTCCATCTCAAAAAAAAAAAAAAAAAAAATTAAATCTCGCCAACAGTTAAGGTTCATCTGACCAAAATCATGGCATTTCACACATTTTGTTCTTAATAAAGCCAACTTCCAATCAACCAGGCCATTTCCAAGGAAAGGAACGAGGTGGGCACCGAGGAACCTCCAGTTCAATGTCTGTGCAAGGATTTGCACCCGGGAGCATGGAGGTCCCGGCCCGTGTCAGAACTCGGACACCTGAGGGGTCCCAGGGCAGCCTCATCCAGGCGCCGGCCGCGGGGCACGTACCAAACTGCTGCAGGGAGTACACGGCGTCCTGCATGTGGATCCAGAAGCGCAGCCGCCCCAGCGAGACCTTGTCGTAGGACACGGTGAGGGGCAGCTCAGTGGTGGAGCGGTTTATGACCTGCGGGAAGAAAGCCGTACTGAGGACCAGCACGCGACTGAGCCAGTCTCGGGCCTCTCCCCTCACACTCCTGCACCCAGCCGCCTGGCAGCCCTGGCCGACCCTGCTGTCCCCATTCCCATCCCTGGGCGGCCCCAGATCAGCCGTGATCGGGCCCAGCAAGTGTCCCTGGGTCCACCCTTCTGTCATTATACGACCCAGCACGGGCAGGTCCCCACCACCAGACCCCGTGAGCTCAGCAGTGCTAGCAGGGCCTAATATGTTTCCGCTGTGCATGCCCCTTCAATTTCTAAGTGGCACAAGTCCTGGCGCCCCGGGGGTGGTGCTAGGAATCCGTGGCCCAGCATACAATACTGAGCACGGCCTATAGAGCCCCGGCCCGTCCTAAGAACCAGAGACCATGGGACACGCACAGCCCCTGCAGCACATGGGCAAAGTGCCCTCAGGACCTAACGCATGGTGCAGGGGGTGGCCATGGGACAACAGAAAGCTTCTGGAATACAGAACCAACACGGGCGGTGGAGTGGACGTGTGGGTCTCAGAACCACAAGCTTAGTCCTGCAGCCTGCCAGGGCCTTATGCACACAGGATGCGGGCCAGGTCCCAGGGCGCCGAGGCAGGAGGGTAAGGAGCGGCTTCACGAAGGCATGCCCATGTCCTACAGCAAGAGGCAGTAACCACTCTCCCTCCATGTGCTGGGACACCCAGTGAGGGCTGTGCTCTGATCCACCTGCCCTGCCTCAGGTCCTGACCCATCTCAGTGGGCACTGCTGGGGTCAAGGGTGTGGTGGAGTCAGAGACACAACCAGCAGGTGCCAGGTTGTCCTAAGAGCAGCTGCCAGCTGTCAGGGCACCCTCCACAGCCTTGCGGCATCAGTGCACGTGGACAGTGGCCTCCAAGTGCCCCTCGAGCTGCCAAGCGCGTCTGAGGGATGCCACTGTCCAAGGCTTTGTCTGGTATTGCTGGGCCAGCCACAGAAAGCACCCTCTTCCTGTGCCTGCTGCATCCCAGCTGCCTGCTTCCTGCCTCAAGACAGCACCCCTCAAAACTGGCCCCAAGTGAGAAAAAGCAACAGTGACACATGCTGGTGATTCGGGGGAAAAGCTGCTGCTGACACACGCCTCCACGACTCCTGGAACGCAGGCCACCACTGGCACAGATGTGCCGCAGAGCTGCCCCAGGCCTGTAAGGGACCGATCTGCAGACACACAGGGCAGCCTTCTGCAGCTGCCCGTCCCTGTCCACTGTTTCCCGAATGACTGCAAGGAGTCAGCGGCACGAGGCCTCATAGGCAGCCACCAAGGGCAGGTGCTGCAGCTTCCAAAGCTCCCCACGGTGCGTTTTAGCAGACCCTGCTACATCCTGAGGTTTGTAAGCAGCACCTCGGCAAACTCCAGCAAACAGAGCAAGGCGCTGGAACTGCAGGGCCTGAGACAGAAACTGCTCAGGGAGAGGCTGGAGCCACCAGACCTGCTCGCCAGCCACAGCCTGCCCGGCCCCCAGCCTGCAGGTTGTGCAGCAGTGGTCAGGGCCTGCTGAAGTGAAGGAGGCAGTATGTTAGGAACTGAGAGGGGTCTGAAGGACAGCAGAGGGACTGTTCTGAGCCACAGTCATCAGGAGGCAGCAGGGCCTGGGCAGATCAAAGTGGCCAGGTACCCGCTCCCCCGTGTCCCAGCTGCACACCCCGGCAAGCTCCCTGCCCTCCCCAGGCCTGTTTCCTCAACAAAAACAGAAAAAGGGCCCACCTCAGAGCTAATGAAAGCCTAAGTGGAAGAACACGTGGCTGGCTCCTAGTGGGCGCCCAGGAGTGACAGTGATGGCCTGCAGGGAGGGGGGGCAGGGTGGCGAGTCCTGTGGGGTCCTAGCTGACCATTCACCTCTGAACACTATAACCTCATCCGTGAAACAATGCCACAGCTCCCAGCACCACGATTACAGGAACGTTCACAAAGTGCTTAGCACAGTGCCTCACGTGGAGTAAGGGACTTTAAATATTAACTGCTTTTATTAAGGGTCAAATGTTGGCTATGCTTCCTCTACCCTCAAAGCAACCCTGAGAGAATTGGCGCTGTCACTCCCGTAACCAAGGGCGCCAGAGCCCAGAGAGCAGCCACTTCTCTTCCGCATAGGTCTCTCTGCCTTGCCGGGGGCCACCCCAGGAGCTGCAGCTCCCAGGCAGGGCTGTCACCGACTCCTCTGGCCCCCTGTGCAGGACCAGCCCTGGCAGGAAGCAGGAGTTTGCTGAGAACACTTTCTGAGTTACACCACACGGCACACCAGGAGCTCACACGCAGACAGTCTCACACGGCACTCAGGTGCCCGCCCTCTAAGTGCTGCATAAACAATCTTTCAGGGCTTTTCATCAGTGAGGATCCAGAGGCTCAGGAGGAGCCCACAGCCAGCTAACAGCAAAGCCGGCGCACCCCCAGGCCCCCGGCACAGCCCTCGCACGCCCGAAGGCAGTGCTTCCCAGCACAAGTGAAAGCTCCGTGCCAAGTGTCAGTGATGGTCCTGTCCATAAGGATGCTGGGGCGATGCGGCCAGTCTTGGGGTCAGTGTCTTGCCAGCTGCACAACCAGCGGGCAGAGGTGTCGCTCACCATCAGGTCCTTGACGCGGTTGCTGAGCTGGTCGATAAACAGGATGGGGAGGTAATGCACGGTCTTCCCGAGCTGGATCCTGGGATTAAAGCACAACTCTAAAGTCAGAGCCAAGGCCCTCACCTTCTGATGAATCAACACATCCAGACACCGCATTTACCCCAGAGAAGTACCCCCAGGACTACCCTCAACAGCTTCTCAGTCATAATGACCCCTGGGATCAGCCTTCCCAAAAGGAGGCAGACAGCCTGACAAGGCATGCATGCCTGTGACACCCACTCCCCATGAAGTGATGGGCACAGGAGGGAGGCGCGGGTGAACTCCAGGGACACGGCTGCACCGAGGAGCCCAGGGCCCTCTGCGCACTGACACGGAGCAGTCCCAGGACACGGCCACTATGCTTGGAGGGGCGAGTCACCTGCAGCTACCCCGGAGGTGGAACTGCGGTGCAAGAGTGGGGGCTCAACACATGGGAGACGGGGTGAGCTCAGTCAGCCAAACGTGAATTCCAGTAATCACATTCAACTGATGGCAAGTGAATCCGAATGAGCCAAGTTACACAATCACAAGGGGAGCAAAGCAACACATTCCCGTCAGCACCTTCCATTTTCTCTCCATGGAGGCCTTCGAAGTCAGGAGCAAAGGGCAGGATGCTGCAGCCCGAGCTCCTTTCTTCTCCTTTCCAACCCTGCGCCAGCAGCACCACCTCAACCAGGGAGTGGGAGGGGCTGGGGGGCCCGGGACAGCGAGTGCCTTGCCACAGAGGGGCTCCAGGACACAGTGACCCCCCGGCAGGTTCTGGCCGGCCAGGGTTCCAGCGACCTCTCTGGCGCTCTAGCTCTGGGGCCACACTTACATCTTCATGTATCGATGCACGTCGGCAGGCAGGGAGGACCCGTCGAAGACGAAGTTGTCCGCCATCACGTTCAGCGCCAGCCGCGGTCTCCAGTGGGACACCGGCTCATCCAGGGCGCTCACTGGCTTCTCCTCCGCCTCCATCTGCTGCTAAGTGAGGAAAACAGAGGCCAATGCTGGGACAGAATATCGTGCTCAGACAGCAGGTGGTCTGCACCCTAACCTGTGAACAGAACCGCCATGCAGACGGGCACAACAGGTGCCTGGGACAGGTGCACGACGGCGGCCACACAGACGGGCAAACCATGCCCAGGACAGCAGGTGGTCAGCACCACGACCTATGAACAGGGCAGCCACGCAGACGGGCATGATTGGGGAAGGAGTTCAGCGGAGAGGGCACCGCGGCCCCACAGCTGCCGACTCGCCCAGACTCTCACCGCACACCCCCATCCTTATCTCCACGAGCCAAGGGGTGCTTTGCAATATGTGCTCATGGGTCTCACCAATTCCTTTTTTGGAATTCTCAAACTAAGTGGGCCCACTTCTCAGAAGCTGAGCAGGGCAAGAGCCCCGTGACCCTGGTAGAAGACCATACAAATCCAGTGCTAACACAGCCTTGCAGCTGTAAGGAGCCTGAAGGAGGCGGCACATGGGGTTGCCCTAATGAAGACGCACCGAGGACTGCACATGGCTCTTCGATGAAGTCAAACTGAGAAGGGCACTCACTGACAGGGAATCTTAGCTCATCTCAGATCTGATACATCCCTGGACACACTGTCATCCTACCCATTTCCTACCAAAAGATACAGTTTACCAATAATTTACATTAAAAATGGGTTTTCAGGCTGAGCATGGTGGCTCATGCCTGTAATGTCAGTACTTTGGGAGGCCAAGGCAGGTGGATCATGAGGTCAGGAGATTGAGACCAGCCTGACCAATGTGGGGAAACCTCATCTCTACTAAAAATACAAAAATCAGCCAGGTGTGGTGGCACAGGCCTGTAATCCCAGCTACTGAGGAGGCAGAGGCAGGAGAATCGCTTGAACCCAGGAGGTGGAGTTTGCAGTGAGTCAAGATCGCACCATTGCACTCCAGCCTGGGTGACAGGGCAAGACTCCATCTCAAAAAAATAAAGGGTTTTCATACCTCCTTACATTTGCCACCTGTATGGGAGGCTCCCTGTGCTACGTGCTCCAAACCCACCACCCCACCCACCCTTCAGGACGCTGGTGAGGAGGGAGGCCAGCCCCAGGTGAGGGTGACATGGAAGGCGGCAGGTGAGGGACGTTCCCGAGAAGACACAGACATGCACCGAGAGGCAGGAGCAGGTGTTGGCAGCTTCCAAAACCCCATCAACCCCGAGACGCTGCGCTCTGTCTGGAACAATTTCACAGCCTCTTCCTGGAAAGCCTCCATCTTTGTTTTGTAAAAATTTTTTTTTTTCTGAGGCGGAGTCTTGCCCTGTCACCCAGGCTGGAATGCAGCTACGCCACCTCAGCTCACCACAACCTCCGCCTCACGGGTTCAAGTGATTCTCCTGCCTTGGCCTCCTGAGTAGGTGGGATTACAGGCACCCGCCGCCACACCCAGCTAATTTTTGTATCTTTAGTAGAGATGGGGTTCCACCATGTTGGCCAGGCTGGTCTCGAACTCCTGACATCAGGTGATCCACCCGCCTCGGCCTCTCAAAGTGCTGGGATTACAGACTGTGGCGTTGTTTTGTAAATTACCTCACCCTCCACTCAACAGAGGTGGATATCAGAATTCCCTTGCTTTATCCTTGGCCCGTGTTAATGATCACTTAAGTGACTTCCAGATTTTCTTTGTACACACACCTTTTTACAGATGTACAAACTATACCTTGTACCGCTACTCTTTCCACAATCTTGAGTTATATTCTTAGAATAAAATCTAGGAAGCGCCCAGTCCTACACATAATGCAGAATGAGCTCAGCTCATTCCCAGAGCTCCCAGCTCCAAGAAGCTGCAGGCTGGCTCTGTGGGACCAACGCCCATCCCACCAGGAGGAGGCAGGTACCCCCAGAGACTGAGAGCCCACCCTTGGGGGACTCTGCATAAAGAATGCCAGCATTCTAAACGGGACATCTAAAATGTCCCTAATTTTAGATGAAACTTGTCTGCAAACTCATGGATGTGATTCAGCTGAAAGTCAAAAAAGCGTGCCAGTCACATTCCAAAGGCTTTACTCCCCACGAAGTCGCTGGAGCCCTAGACATCGCCTTCCTGTGTGGAGAAAGACATGTCAGTTCTGACACGGACGCAAAGCCGCTTTGTTCTCTCAGTAATCCATGAAAAGCCTCACCTGTGCATCAGATTCCCCAGTGAGCAGGTTGATTTCTTCTGGCCTGGGGACCATGTAGGTGGTCAGAGGACTGACTAGGTGCACCTGCTTCCCATCGTGCCATGGCAGGATCCCAGCGTGATGGAGGAAAATGTAGGCATACAGTGTCCCATTATTTCTTGTTTTCTTTGGTACAGAAACATTAACTGTCCTGAAACAGAACGAACAATCCTTTCCATTGCATACATGTTACATTCTGTGTTTAGAGACTATTCAAATATCTTTATAAAGCTGTTTCAATCAACTAATTTTAGCCCAGAAGCACTAAAAATGAAACCCACCTGCTTGGGGTTTTACGAGTCCTGGGTGTGTGTGTCCTGAGTGCTTGGCACAAGTGTGGGCGCCTACAACTGAAAGCAGCAGGGCCCACACTTCTTGCCTCCATCTCGGGAGGCTGAGAGGTCAATGACCTGCCTGAGGCCACAGGGCTGAAGCGGCCAGATGAAAGCAGCATCTGGGCCTGGCCAGGATACTAGCTGACCACGCACACTGAATAACACAACTCAGAAGTCACAGAAGCCAAGGGCAGGCAGCCGCAAGTGCCCCATGTGCTTCGGTTCACTACTGAAGTCTCAGAAATTTCATGTGGGTAGTTTTTCTGGGTGTTGCATTTTTAAAGATAAAAGGATTATAAACCACAAAGGACTGACTTTCAAGCCTGTCTGCCCTGACTGTGCTGGCATCCAATGAGCCGCTACAACTGTAGGCCTCAGGCCATGCGCCTGGCTCTTTATCTTCAGGCCAGGGCCCAATGTCCATACCACAGTCCCATGGAAAAACCAGGCATCCCACCTATTTATGGTTACATTAGTTCCTCTCCCTCTTTAAAAATCTTCTTTTTGAGATGAGGTCTCACTGTCACCCAGGCTGAAGTGCAGGGGTGCAATCATAGCTCACTGCATCCTCAACCTCCCAAGCTCAAGTGACCTCCCACCTCAGCCTCCCAAGTAGCTGGGACCACAATGTGCATGCCACCACGTCCGGCTAACTTTTAAAACTGTTGTAGAGATGGGGTTTTGTCACATTGCCTAAGCTGGTCTTGAACTGCTGGGCTCAAGTGATCCTCCCGCCTTGGCCTCCCAAACTGCTGGCATGAGTCACTATGCCCGGCCTCTCCTTAAAAATCATATTGCCAAAGTTCTAATAAAAAACGCAAAGGGATCTAGGGCTTCTCACGAACCAGGAAACACAGCACATCTCCACCAGGACATCTAAGTGTCTCTCTTCAGGTGGGGCAGGTGGCAGGGCTGTGTGCCCGAGTCCTGCAGTGACATCTCTGGTGGAATGTGCACGTGGCGACGCTGAGGGGGGAATGTGTCAGAGCATTCATTCTCCCCCTTCCTCCAGGCTGGCGCTGTGCCAGGGGAAATGGTAAACTCACTAGCTGTCCTTGGTAACTGGTACAGGGCCCAGCGTGGAAGAGGTAGTATTCATGTCTGGGAAATCAAACCCAATGCAAGTGTAACTTGAGCATTTTTGAAAGGTGTGGGCAGTTACAACTGACAGGTGACCAAGCCAGCACTTCCGGCCTCTATTTCACTGAGGCAGAGAGAGGGCAGTAACTGGCTTGAGGTCAGAACCCCACCTGCCAGTGCTGCGCTGCTGCCTGCCCGGGGCACCGCCTCCAGCTACCCACAGTGACTGGCCACCTAGAGGGCGCCCAGTGCAGCATGCGCCTCAGACTTCACGATTCTCTCCTCAGACACCTCCCAGGCAATGAAGAAGGGAAACGGTAGAGTTGTGAGAAACAAACCATACTTAAAATTACACTTACGCAATGTAAAAAAAGGCCATACGTTAGACGTACTTTTTTAAGTGACGCTACATATTTGAACATTGATCTATTCTAATGTATGTCACATGTCAATTATGATTTTCTACAAAATTACTTCCTCCACCCTCATGCCGTTTCCTGCAGAGTTGTGAGAAACAAACCATACTTAAAATTATACTTACGCAATTTAAAAAAAGACCATACGTTAGGCGTACTTTTTAAGTGACGCTACATATTTGAACATTGATCTATTCTAATGTATGTCACATGTCAATTATGATTTTCTACAAAATTACTTCCTCCACCCTCATGCCGTTTCCTGCAGAGTTGTGAGAAACAAACCATACTTAAAATTATACTTACGCAATTTAAAAAAAGACCATACGTTAGGCGTACTTTTTAAGTGACGCTACATATTTGAACATTGATCTATTCTAATGTATGTCACATGTCAATTACGATTTTCTACAAAATTGCTTCCTCCACCCTCATCCCGTTTCCTGCACAGGTAACTTAAGCGTACTCCCACCAGGAGAAGACAAGTCGTTCCCGGTAGTGAAACGGCACCCGCTGCCTGCTCTGCACCGGGTCGCCAGGCGGGGCCCCCCGCTCCTCTGGAGCGCGTCGGCCGCGCACATCCCACGGCCTCGGACTCTGCCGAGAGCTGCTTCCTAAATCACGCTTCCCCGCCCGCCCCTTCCAGGCGAGTCCTCCGGCTACAGCAGGCGGCCGCCTCCCAGCTGTCCACGGTACCGCGCTGCGTTAGACAGCGGGCTCCCCAGCCCTCTGAACGCGAGAAATCTTGTCCCGTTCTCGGGCACTGTGTCCCTCGCCCGTACCTCTCAAATTTGGCCTCCACGTCGAAGTCCTCCACGTTCAACACCAGGTCGATGTTGTTCTCAGCGCCCAGGTGGGACCGCGTCGCGGTGTACACGCTCAGCTGCACGGGAGGGGCGCCGAGTCAGCCGGGCCGGCGCGGCAGGCGCACCGGTGCCCCACGGCCGGCCGGGGGGGAAGACCTGGCCGCTGGGGCCTGGAGGGGGTCCGTCTCGACTCGCGGGGACACAGCTCGGGCTGGACGGGGCGGCGGCGGCCGGGACTCGGAGGAGAGGCCCCCGCCCCGGCCCCCGCCCCGGCCCCCGCCCCCGCCCCTCACCTGCAGCTTGGGCCGCCGCGCCAGGTAGGGCTGGATGCAGTTGGCGTCGCCGGAGCACGGGCGGGTGTAGACGATGCCGTACATGACCCAGCAGGTGTGCACCACGTAGACCACGAACACGCCCACCACCAGGCTGGTGAAGGAGCTGCGGCCGCTCCACATGGCCGCCCCGCGCGCGGCGCCCCCGGCCCACTCGCCTCTCAGCCGCGGGCCCCGCCCGGCCTGCCGCTCCGGCCGCCGCCGCTCACAGGACCGCCGCCGCGCGCCGCCGCCACCTCCGCGGGGGAACGACCGCGCCGCGCGCCGCCGGCCGCCGGCCGCCCCGCATACTCCGGCCCCGCTCCGACCTGGCGCCGCGGGATTCGCCGGCCCCGCGCGCCGCTTCCGGGCCCCGCCTCCCGCCGGAAGTAGACGCGCCGCGCGGCTCCCTGGGAAGCAGCGTCTCGGCCGCCGCCGCGCACGCGCGTCCAGGAGACGGCGCCCGAGTGTCGTGGCCGCCCGCGCCGCGCTCCCGGCGTGCCCCGCGGCGGCTCAGGCGCCCCGCTGTGGGGGTCGCGGAGGGCGTTCGGGGGGCGCCGGGCAGGGCCCGCGGGGTTCCCGGGGCGCCGCCCCCAACCCGACGACGCCCGCGGGACCCCCAAGTGGGGGCGTGCCGACGCGTGCGGAGCCCGGGGGAAGGCGAGGCGGGAGTTCCGGCCCTGCGCCTGCGCCTGCGCCCTGCGGCCCGGAGCTGGGCGAGTCTAAACAAACGCCAAGCGCGCTCGTCTCGTGTTTCCGCGGAAAATCCCGTTTGGGCGCCGGCGCTTTCGAGGAAAACTGCGGATTCCCAGGCTGCGGCGGCTCCGCCCAGCCTGGACCATCCCCTGCTTCGCGCCAAACCGCGCGTGCGCCGCAGGGCGAGGTCCGCAGCGGCCCCCGGAGGGCGCGGGGTCCGTGGAGACCCTCGGGCGGCCCTGCCCTTTGGGCGGCTCCCTGGAAGGCCGCCCTGTTCCGTGTCTGCCAGACGCGCGCAAACGCCGGCGGGGGCCCCTCCGACTGCCCGGGGCTGTCAGAGCGCGGACGGCTGCACGGGCGCTGGGCCCGCGGGAACTCAGGCCGGGCCTGACGCGCACGTGGACGGCGACGCGCAGAGGCCGGGCCGGAGGAGGAGGCTCCCGGAGCGGGCACCCGAGGCCGCGAGCGGGGGCGGTCCTGGGCCACCAAGGCCTGGAAGCTGGGCCGGCCGCTTCGGAGCGGGGGTGGCTGTTTTCGGGCCTTTAGTTACCGGCCGCACGGAGTCCTCGCACGGCGCCGTTCCCCGAAGTGACAGTGATGCCCGGCTACACCCAGCGCCTCCATCCTTCCCCGCCAGTCTCTTCGCGCTTCTTGCCAAACCTGTGCTTGGAAAACCCTCTGCCGACTCCTGTTACCCTGATCAAATCCATGCTCTCCAGCAGGCTCGTGAGCTCTTTGCAAAGTGGCCCAACAGGCATCATGCCCTGCGCTGCAGCCACTGTTGGGGGCTCCTGCAGGGCCGGGCATCCCACACCGGCAGCGGGGTGCTCGTCCTGCCACAGCCTGTGCAGCGTGTGAATGAAGGCTGTAGTCCTGTGGTCTGCGGGAGGCTCGTTCCACCTCCAGCTGCCAAACATCAGGGGACTGGCAGCCTATCCCGGGTGGGCGTCTCATGGCATCCAAAGGCCAGTACCTAGCCAGGGCTCGGGAAGGAGCTGTAACCCAGGACTCTGGGGTGTGGCTTCCTGTCCCCTCCCTCCCCCCATCTCTGTGTTCCTGAGATGGCTCATTTGCTGTCAGGCTTCTGGGCTGCTCTAGGAGCTGGAATCGCATTGGTGCCTCCTCAGTCAGCGTCCACCCCTAGTGTCATCCACAGTGGCCAACGGAAGGGTGGCCGGTGGTGCAGGACAGTTGCCATCTTGGGAGAGATCACAGGGACAGGAAGGGCCTCTCCACCCGAGCAAATTAGAGCTGCTGTGGTGGCAGAACACATTTACACACACATAGCTGTCCCCCTGGTCTGTTGAGAGGCCACTTGAAAGGGACACGTCATTTGTTGCCTTCCGACTCTGACCTCCTGAGGCTGGCTGCTGGCAGCATGTGACAGCACTTGAAGGAAAGTCCCTGGAAAGAGTGTGAATCGTTGCAGAAATCCCGTGAGAAAGCGCCCCAGGAGGGCCCCATGCAGCACCCAGCAGAACTTAAACTCCCGTGTCCCCCTCAACACCCCACAGTGTGGTGGCTGCTTCCATCTCCCCAGGCTTAGCTGGCCTGGGTCCTGCAGGCCTCTCCTCCCCCTGTCCCCACAAGGCACCCTCTCTGCCACTGCACAACTGGATGAGTGAAGTCCAGGCGGCTAGGGCTGCTTGGGCAAGCGGAGCAGCTTGACCCCGTTCTGGCTTTGTTGGCCTCACTCCTGTGGAGAGCCGGGGTTACCATGTCTCTGAAGCCAAGGCTTGCTTTCTAGGCGTTGGGGGAGTCACATTTTGCATTCGTACTCACTGAGCCCCATGTCTGTGGTTAGAGAATTTGTCAACGTTTTAAAATGATTTTTTCAATTCCATCATTTGAGGGCCCTCTGGCAAGGAGCCCGTTAGTACTTGGAGTGCCCACGACATTCCAGAATGCATATATGAAGAGCTGGCCCTTGCTGTTCTTATTCATTGAGGACTCCAATGGCCACTCAGGATGACTGGGGAAATGGAGGCTGCAAAAGATTTGGCTCCTTTGTGAGGTCCTCGGCAGTGGTCAGACATGAAGGAAATAGGTATGGCACCCCCAAACCACACCTCGCCCTACGGGGCCACAGCTGCCTGTGCAGCCTTAGGAGGGAAATGGAAGGACAGAGTAGGGTGTCTTGAGTGTGGACACACCCTGCAGCAAGGGCTGAGGGGTCCTCGGACTGGAGCCCGCCCCCAGGCTCGGCTCGGCTCGGCTCGGCTCGGCTCAGCTCAGCTCAGCTCAGCTCAGGGACATGGTGCCCAGGCTTTCCCGGGGAGGAAGGTGTTTGATCTCCTGCCTCTGTATTCATTCATGCTTTGGGTTTCTCTCTAATGCATATTCTAACACCTGCAGGATTTATGGATGAAGGGCCGCAAACCCACATTTGGTCTCATTCCACGGATGCTGTGTCCTGCCCTGCCCTACACCAGTCGAACCTCTGCAGGGTGGGGTGGGACTCTGTCTCTGCCCACACTGCCTGCCCCTCGGGTTGTAGTTCTAGGAAAGCAAGTCTTAGACTGAGTTTTGATCCAGATTAAATTCTGTCCCAGGTGCAGATATTTATAGGCAAGCAGGAACAAGAGCCCTCAGGCACAGCTGGGTGTCCTGCGATGTGTGCCTTTGGGAGTTCCCAGATAACAAGGCCTTTTCCTGGAGGCAAAGCAGAGGGGTTCCGTGGCAGAGCGGCCAGCTGGCTAGCAGGTCGGGGCAGGGCCTTCTAGGCCCAAGGCATGACCCCTGTGCCCGCTGCTGGCTCTCCTCTTGCCAGGACACATCTCCTGCAGGACCCTAGCTCACCCAAGAACACTTTTCCATCATTGAAAAGTCATTGGTAAGTGCCACAATATGCATGAGCAGCCCTTCCGGTGCTGGCTTGTGGGCTGGTGTTTGAGAATCTTGCCAGTTCAATGTGGTCATCTGCTTAGGGTTCCCCAAAGGCTAACCTTTCATGACAGAGGGAGGCTACACCTCATTCCTAGGTGAGACTGGGGCTCATGCACACACAGGTGTTAACGGCGTGGACTGCAATGGGTCGAGTGCCTGCTGCCATGTCCTAGTGCAGGGGCGGGTGGGGGGAGCTCCTAGACAAAGAGGGGAGGCTGCTACTCTCCAGGGCCACAGGGAGTCCAGAACTCTGTCCTCTGGTGTCAGCGGTAAATCCGTATGAGTCTGCAGCAACTCGGTTTTTGCCTTCTCAGAGGAAATAATTAATCCAGGGGGCAGAAGGCAGAGTGAGACACTGAGGCAAGTTTCAGTGCAGGAGTGAAAGCTCAGAGCAGCAACGAAAGGATGTAAAGTGCACTTAGAAGAGGGCCAGGTGCACGGTTTGGACCTTTGACTTGGGGTTTATACGTTGGCATGCTTCTGGGGAGTTGCGTCCCTTCTCCTAGATTCCTCCCTTGGGGTGGGTTGTCCGCACGCGCAGTGGCCTGCCAGCATGTGGGAGGGCTGTGTGCAGTGTGCTTTCTGGAGCTGTGTGGCGCTCTCTTGAGGCAGTCTTCCCTTACCAGTCGAGTGTTCCTACAGGAAGGTCATACGGGCTATACTTTGCCACTTTGCCTCGTAGTGCTTGACCTCACCAACTCCCGAGATCTTATCAGGAAGCGGCTCATCTCCAGCTTCAGTGTTTTCTATCTGTTGGGAGCCTGCCTTTCCCTGGCGCCAGCTGCAACCAATTATTATTTTAGACGCTTGAGCATCACCTAATGATCAGTTGACATTTCTGGTGGGGTGGCGTCCCCTCTCCTGCCCTGCTCCTGTGGGGCTCGCCCTGCCCACCCTTTCCGCAAGGGCCTTTCTTTACTTCATTTTTGCACAATGGACTCTTACTATGATCCCAGGAACTGCTCACGGCCACTTCTGGGTGAACACCTACCGGCTGCTCTGAATATATGCTGTGAAAGTTGTCAGAATCAAAATGGAGTCACTAATGTTAAGAAAGGCCTGACAAAGAGTGGTGGGGAAGGCCCTGAAGAGAGGACACTTAAGCTAACATGCCAGATACCAGAAAGGACTGCAAAAACCGCAAGCCGGCACAAAGGCCGTCACCCTTACACAAAAAATATTTCTGCAAGGACAGCTGCCCAGCAGCTGCCTGTCCAACCTCAGACTGGAGTCACCTTGGTTATTGATGTTTGTAGCCAAGGATAATTATCGCTAAACCATGGTGCTCATGCTCGTGTTTCCTTTAAAGACCTTTGTCTTCCTTGACCTCCCTGAACAGGCATGTGGTTTACTGTGGCGTGCCTATTCCCTTGCAGTGCTCTGTTCCCAAGCTAACACGTATTCTAGAGAGCCTCTCTGTTTCCTGCCTAGGCTGACAATGCTGTGGATCTGGGCTCCCAGGAACAGGGGCTGACATCAGAGGGGCAGAAAGAGAACAGCAGCTCTCCCTGAGGGAATGCTTGCCAAGGATAAGGAAATGATGGTTCTTAAAGGATTATTTTATATTCATCTAAAAGGGTATTTTTGTTGTTACCCCTAGCCTTTTTTTCCTTTTCATTTTCTGATGAATAATTTATATAAAGAAAACACATTCTAACCGTGCAATTCTATGAATTTTGACAAATGTCTTCACCCATGCAAACCCTGTTACAACAGACATATAGAACATTTGCATTACTTAAAAACCGCCAGGCGTGGTGGCTCATGCCTGTAATCCCAGCACTTTGGGTGGTCGAGGCGGGAGGATTACTTGAGCCCAGGAGTTCAAGACCAGCCTGAGCAACATAGTGAGGCCCCATCTCTACAAAAACAGAAGAAATTATCTGGGCGTTGTGGTGCATGCCTGTGGTCCCAGCTACTTGGAGGCTGAGGTGGGAGGATTGCTTGAGCCTGGGAGATTGAGGCTGCAGTGAGCCGTGATTGCACCACTGCACACAGCCTGGGTCACAGAGTCAGATCCTGACTCCAAACCCAAACAAAATCTCCTTCTTGCCCCTTTAGAGCCAAACTGTTTTCTGTCATCGCAGATTCGTCTGTTCTAGAAATTTACATGGATGGAATCATTCAGTCTTTTTTATCTGGCTTCTTTTACTGGGCACAGTGTTTGTGAAACTCCTCAGTGTTGCATGTAACAGTAGTTCCTTTTAATTGCCGAGTGGCACTCCTTGGTGTGAATGCACCACAGTTGGGCTAACCACCGGATGCTGATGGCCAGTAGGATGTCCCCATTTTTGGTCACAATGAATTGGTCTGCTGTAAGCATTAGAGTATGTATATTTTTTTTAAGAGACAGTGTCTCGCGCTGTCATCGAGGCTGGAGTGGTGGCACAATCATAGTTTACTGCGGCCTTGAACTCCTGAGCTCAAGCAATCCCCTCACCTCAGCCTCCAGAATAACTGAAACTGCAGGCGTGCACCACAGCACTTGGCTAATTTTTCAACTTTTTGTAGAAATTGGGTCTTGCTATGTAGCCCAGGCTGGTCTTGGGCGCAAGCAATCCTTCCATGTCTCGAGTAGCTGGAATAGGTGTGAGCCACTACCCAGCACCATTTATTGAAGAATCCATCCTTTCCACACCAAGTGTTCTTGACACCTGTGTTGAAATCAGTTGGCTGTAGAAAGTGGATTAATTTCTGGGCCCTCTGTTTTGTTCCATTGGTCCATGTGTCTGTTTTATGCCAGTTCCATGCTGTTTTGGTTACTGTAGCTTTGTAGTGTATTTTGAGGCCTGGGAGTGTGATCCCTCCAGCTTCGTTGTTTTTGTTCAGGTTGGCTTTGGTTATTTGGAATCTTTTGTGGTTCCATACAAATTTCAGTATTGTTTATTTTTCTATGAAGAAGGTCATTGGTATTTTGATAGGCAGTGCCTTGAATGTGTAGATTGCCTTGGGTAGCACAATCATTTTAACACTTAATTCTTCTGATCCTTGAGCATGAGGCGTCATCTCATTTTTTCATATCTGCTTCAGTTTCTTTCATCGGTGTTTTGTACTTTCCCTCGTAGAGGTTTTTCGCCTGTTTTTTTAAATTTATCCCTGGGTTCCCAGTGGACTAGTTTTTCAGAAAAAAAAAAAGAAAAGAAAAAGAAATTTAGCCCTAGGTGTTATATATTTTTTGTAGCTATTGGAAATGGGATTGCCTTCTCAATTTCTTTTTCAGCTAGCGTTTTGTTTGTGTATAGAAATGCTACTAATTTTTGCGTATTGCCAGGGGCAGCCTGTGGGACTTTTTCTTAGGCCCTTATTGGAGGCACAGGGCCACTGAGCAGGCCAGGGGCGTACCTGCAGGTGGTGGGCGCTGTGGGGCTGATTTCTCAGACCCTGAACTCCTGCTATCAGTTGCTTGGGGGCAGGCGGGTCCTAAGTGGGGAGGCCCGCAGCTGTTTGGCTGGCTCAAGGGTGGGTTTGCTGCAGGTGGGATGGGCAGACAGCTCCTCCAGACGGAAGAGCTGCCGTGGGGACGGCTCTCCCTGCTGTGCAGGACCAAAGCTATAGCTGAACCTGGGCCCCAGCCCCATGAAGCTGGGGTTGTGGTGTTCAGTCGCCCATGTGGGTTTGGCAGCATGGAGGTGGAGCCCCAGTGCTGGAGAGGTGCGGGTGCTACTGGCCCCGGGTCACACCCCCTCCAGATGTAGTAGCAGCTTGGCTGTCGGTGTGGGTGTGGGGTGGGAAGTGCCCACCTTGTGCTCCTGATTGGGGCAGCGCTGCTGTGTGAATTCGCTGCAGTGCCGCAAACTGGGTGCAGGGCTTGCGAGGGCTGTGGGCTCTCCTGCAGCAAGGACTGTCAGTGTTGGCTGTAGCGGTGGCAGCTGGTGGAGATCTGCTGACCTTTCCCCGGCCACAGGAGGTCCCTCTTTGCTTCTGGGTCAAACTGGTGAGTGAGGAAGACTGGGCGGCAGAGGCTGGGCGGCTCCAGGCTGCCCTCCTGGACTTCCAAGCACCACAGGTGTGTCTCCACACCTCTGCTGCTCTCCAGCGCTCTGCCTTCAACGCTGCAGTCAAATTGTCGCTGTTAGTTCGTTGCCTTGGTCCTTCCTGGGGGAGGAGGGGATGAGTGCCAGCAGTTCTAGCCAGCCCTCTCGCCAACACCACTCTCCTCCTGGTGTCTTTCAAAAAGCAAAAGTTGAACATTTTTACTACATCCAATGTAATCATGTTTCAGTGATGAATATTTTTGAATTTTGCTCTGTGTTTAGAAGCCCTGTTAGTAGGAGCATACTTATTTGGGGTCATGATGTCCTCTTGATGACTTGGCTCTGTTGTCTTTCTTTATCCCTGTGTGTTCATTGTTCTGACGTCTGCTTTGTGTATCGGCAACATGATGACTTCAGCTTTCTTTTGACAGCATTTCCATGGCATACCCCTTTATTTCCTTGTACTTTTAGCCTATCTGTGTCTCATATATATATATGTACACACACACACATAATAGGTATGTGTATGTGTGTGTGTGTGTGTGTGTATGTATATATATATATATATATATATATATATATTTTTTTTTTTTTTATCATGGAATTTCACTCTTGTCACCCAGGCTGGAGTGCAATGGGATGGTCTCACTCTCACTGCAACCTCGGCCTCCCTAATTCAAATGATGCTTGTGCCTCAGCCTCCCGAGTAGCTGGGATTACAGAGGCCCACAGCCATGCTCAGCTAATTTTTGTATTTTTAGTAGAGATGGGGTCTCACCATGTTGGCCAGGCTGATTTCAAACTCCTGACCTCAGGTGATCTGCCTGCCTTGACTTCCCAGGGCACTGGGATCATAGGTGTGAGCCACTGTACCTGGCCTTTTTTTTTTTTAAATAAAATTTTGAGGCAGGATCTTGCTCTGTCACCCAGGCTGGGGTGCGGTGGTGTGGCACCATATTGGCTTACTACAGCCTCACCCCCCCAGGCTCAAGCAATCCTCCCACCTCAGCCTCTCGAGTAGCTGGTACCACAGGGGCACGCCACCACACCCAGGTAATATTGTATTTTTCGTAGAGATGAGGTTTCACCATGTTTCCTGGGCTGGTCTTGAACTCCTGGGCTCAAGCAATCCTCCTACCTTGGTCTCCCAAAGTGCTGAGACTACAGGCATGAGCCACCATGCTTGGCCTTAACCTATCTGTGTATCTATATTTAAAATGGGTTTCTTGTAGGCAGCTTAGAGTTAGTTCTTCATTTGTTTATTTCAGTTGATAATCTCTGCCATTTAAATGGAATGTTACATCATTTAAATTTAATGTAATTATCAGTGTTTCAAAATTTGTCCTATCCATTTTTTATCCTTTTTCCTCTTTTTTCTTCCTTCTTTTAGAATCATAAATTTATCCTGTTTTTGGATTCCAATGTGTCTTACTGGCTTTTCAGCTAGATCTTTTTGCTTTGCTTGTTCAGTGTTTTTTTCTACAGTTGTCAATTTGCAGCTTAAACTCAAGCGAGCCTACATCCAGATGGTATTATAACCCTTAATGTGAATGTTAATCACGTTAAACAAGTTCCATTTCTGCCCGAGTCCTTTCTTTGTTGTCATGCGTTTCACTTTCATGTGAAATACAGCTGACGTGTTTCCTTTAGCCTCAGTAGCTTCCTCTAGCATTTCTTGGCATGCAGATCTACTGAAAATGAATTCCACCAATTGTTGTTTGTATGGAGCGGTTCTGAATTTGCCCTCATTTTTTGAAAGGTATTTTCACTAATTGTCTAGGTTGATGGGCACTTTTTCTTCTGTCATATGAAGGCACGTCGTTCCATCCGTTGTCTTCTGACTGGAATTGCTTCTGATGACAAGTTGATGGCTGTTCTGTTTCTTTGTGTTTAATGTGTGTTTCTCTGGCTGCTTTTCCTTGTTTGTCCTACTTGAGGCTTATAGAGCTTATCGGTCTGTGAGATTTATCAGGTTTGAAAATATTGCATCCATTTCTCTAATGACCAGATTGAGATACCATCTCACGCCAGTTAGAATGGTGATCATTAAAAAATCTGGAGACAACAGATGCTGGAGAGGATGTGGAGAAATAGGAACACTTTTACACTGTTGGCGGGAATGTAAATTAGTTCAACCATTGTGGAAGACAGTGTGGCGATTCCTCAAGGACCTAGAAATAGAAATTCCATTCGACCCAGCGATCCCATTACTGGGTATATATCCAAAGGATTATAAATCATTCTACTATAAGGACACGTGCACACGAATGTTCATTGCAGCACTGTTTACAATAGCAAAGACCTGGAACCAACCCAAATGCCCATTGATGATAGACTGCACAGGGAAAACGTGGTATATATACACCATGGAATGCTATACAGCCATAAAAAAAATGATGAGTTCGTGTCCTTTGTAGGGACATGGATGAACCTGGAAACCGTCATTCTCAGCAAACTGACACAAGAACAGAAAATCAAACACCGCATGTCCTCACTCATAGGCGGGTGTTGAACAATGAGAGCACATGGACGCAGGGAGGGGAGCATCACACACTGGGGTCTGTAGGGGGGAAGTAGGGGAGGGACAGCGGGGGATGGGGAGTTGGGCAGGGATAACATGGGGAGAAATGCCAAATATAGGTGAAGGGGAGGAAGGCAGCAAACCACACTGCCATGTGTGTACCTATGCAA